CAGCTAGGATTCCTGCTTTCTATGAAGATTCCTTCACTACACACCTGCCCTTCCCAGGCTGGCTGTTCTGGAAGAGGAAAGTAAGAGCTGGCATAGCAGTGCAGCCTTTTAATCTCAAGATCAACCTCATCTACGTAGTGAACTTGAGGCCAGCTTGGGCTACACAGACCCTGTCTCAAATGAAGACAACAGCGACAAAGAGGTTGACTCCCTGAGGGTGTGACTCCAAACCACCTGTGTCATGCTGAAATTTTCCTGGAATACATGCTCTAAATGTTTAAAATCTGCAGAACACTGTTAGAGACCATATTCCTAGGCTCCAAGTGTTGATTTACTCTGCATACCCCAGGTGTTGCCCTGCTCTGCATGCTCCAAGTGTGAGCCTACTCTGCATGCTCCAAGTGTGGGCCTACTCTGCATGCTCCAAGTGTTGACTTGTGCTTCATGTTCCAAGTGTGAGCCTACTGTGCATGGAAGAAAGAATAAAGTGTTGAGAATAAAATGCTGTACATTGCCCTCTTAAAAATATTTTTATTTTATTTTAGTGCATGCATGCATGTGTGTGAGAGAGAGAGACAGACAAATGGAAAGGAAGAAAGAAAGAAAGAAAGAAAGAAAGAAAGAAAGAAAGAAAGAAAGAAAGAACAGATGCACATATCTGTGAAGGCCAGAAGATGACTCTTGGGAGTCATCTCTTTCCACCTTGCTGAGTCAGAATTTGTCCTGTTTCTGCTCTATGTGGTGCTCCAGATGGCTCAGCCTTAGAGCTTCTGGCAGGTCTCTTGTCTCCACCTCTGTCCCTGTGTAGGTATGGACTGCTGAGGTGACAGGTGCATGCCCTGCATGCCTTGTTTTTCCATGGACTTGGGGGATTGAATTCAGACTGCCATGTTTGCACATCAAGTGTTTTCTACCTGCTGATCCATCTTGCAAAGCCCAAATCTCTCTCCTCTCTCTCTCTCTCTCTCTCTCTCTCTCTCTCTCTCTCTCCCTGTGTGTGTGTGTGTGTGTGTGTGTGTGTGTGTGTTAGAGAAAAGCTCTACCATGGAACCACATTCCCAGCCCCCAAACAATCTAGGGGATAGGGGAGGTGTGGGGATGGAAAGAGTGGAGAGAGGGGAGGCTGTGGTTAGAATGCATTGTATGAGAGAAGAATAAATAAAAAGAAAAACAGAGAAAAGAAGGCTTAATCACTGTATGAGTTAAAGTATAAGTTAAATAATAATAAAAAAAAGTAATGTTTCCTTGCTGCCCAGCTATAGGAAGACCCTGCATGCTTTCCTGTACTCACTGGCCTGTTCCCATGGGCTACAACTGAGGTGAACCTCCAGATACACACAGACCATGCTGAAAGCTTGGGGCTGGGTGAACTAATGCACCTTCAGCTTGGAAATGCCATAATTCCTTAATTTTGACTTCAAATGCCATCTAATTACTTTATACCGTCATCTAAACATCACATCAAGTTTCAACATGTCTAGTAACATTATCCACTGCCTGTAGAGAGCACAGTGCACATTATTAATGCATACCCATGAGGCATCAGCACAATATTGTCATCCAGCCACATCAAGTGAGATCTTGGGTTTGGGGTACAGCTCATTGGTAGAATACTTTTCTGACATGCACTGCAAAATTTTAAATAATAATACTATTATCATTTAAATAAATGATTTAGTAAAGGAGATCCTGTCATTTGTGACATGATGATCAGGAGAATAATTGGCTGAATGAGCTAACAAAGATACAGAAAAACATGATGTATAATCTCACTCACTACATGGAATCTCAAGTGTCAACATAGAATAGCATCTACCAGGGGTTGGTGGGGTAGGGATGGGTCGCTGAGTAAAACATGTGCCATTCCAGGAGGCAGCAGTTGAGGCAAGGGCAGTTCTTTGCCCAGTGGCTAGCTTTTGCCACAATGAAAGCAAACTCCATGGTGGGCATCAAACAACCTCCTTATGAAACTTGTTTTTGTTGTGACAAATTAGCCACTGGGTGAGAAACTGCCCTTGCCTGACTGCTGACAGTATGCTGTCCAAATTGCACAAGCACTACACAAAGGAAGGCAACTGTCAAACTTTGCCAAGAGAGAGTAGGTCAGCCCTTCAAAATTTCTGCTTCACAGAAAAATCTATCAGATATCATAGGCCTGTAGGTTAAAGATGGATGTCCCAACATTGCAGGCAAACTTTGGGTGACTGTCTAGACAGTCGAATGCTTCTGTCATTTCTATGGCTTTGGAAGATGCTTGCTCTGCACTTTCTGTTTACTTGGATAATATTTGTCCATCTTGGGTCTCTGATGGGGTTGAAGACAAGACACTTATAGTTAAAGTTTTCTTTGTTAACAAATTCAGCAAAGAAACTCACAAAAGACATATAAAGTGTATAAAGTTGAAAGACATAAAAGCTTAAATTGTTTAAGAAAAATATTTTAGAGGTCTAAAAAGATAGTTTTGAGTTGGTAATACAAGTTAAGATAGAAAATGGTTTAGGTGTAAAACTTTGGACTCACTAAGATAGGATAGATAATACAATATTTTCTCCAAATTTGCCAAATATAAATGGACTAGATGTTGTGAATTTAACCTTACCTGATGACTGTTTTTATTGTGCATAGTTTTACTATGTTAGAGTTAAAACCTTTCCTTTTTATTTACACAAAATGAGGGAATTGCTGTGGGATATTTGTAGACTTGTGAAGTTGTATTTGCTGTGATTGATGTAGTAAAAAACTAAATGGCCAAGAGCTAGGCAGGAGGTATAGGTGGGATTTCCTGGAAGAGAAAGGAAGAGGAGAAGAGAATTGAGGTGTGAGAGAGACGGCGGGAGACACAGAAGAAGCAGAATGGGCAGTACGTGATAGAACATAGATTAATAGAAATGGGTTAATTTAAATTATAAGAGTCAGTGGGACAAGCCTAAGCTAAGGCCCAGTTTTCATGATTAACAAGAAGTCTCATGTCATTATTTGGGAGCTGACTGGTGAAACAGAAAAAGGCTCATTACAGATAGTCTAGTGGTTGTTTAACTGTTCTTATAGGCTTTTTAATTTTTTTTTTCTGCAACAAAGTCTTAGAGTGGGGAGCTGGAGAGATGGTTCAGTGGCTCTTCCAGAGGACCCAGGTTCAACTCCCAGCACCTACAGGGCAGCTGACAACTGTCTGTGACTCCTGCAAATCATCCTCTGACTTTTACACACATGCCATGGCACTTGGGCCACACACACCCCTTCACCACCAAACTCGACAAGAATGCACAAATTTAATTTTTTAAAATGTAAAGAAATGACACCACAAATGACAATTAAGCTGGCCCTTTGAGAGGATGCGCATCAAGTTTTCTCAGTGTGTCATCCCCTGACAGCTGACAGAAAGCATGGTAAAGGCTCAAGCAAGTCACACCTGGTGAGACAAGTTAGGGGGGTTGGATTTCAAATGTCCTCCTGTCCCCAGGGTTCCCTCAGAATTATGGTGATGATGTCTACTGTTGGCGCCCTGGAGTTTTGGTTTTTTTTTCCCCTCAGGAATTCACTAATTCCTCAGTGAGTGAAATAATCTCTTAAGGTGATAAATGACAAAAAGAAAAATGAGTTAGAGTAGGAGGAAGGAGGAGGCTGGAGCTCATTAACATTTCACATATGACATTCAGGAAAGTCTCAGCTGCCAGGGAGCTGAATAAAGGACTGAAATAAATGAGGGCTTGAACTGTAAGATTATGTAGGGAGAGATTCTGTAGGCAACAGCCAGAGGTGTAGGGGCAGGGGTATGTGCTGTGTTGTGTTCAATGAGATCCAATCTCTGTGAGTTCAAGGCTGGCCTGGTCTTGTTAGAAAGTTCCAGACCAGCCAGAGCTACATAATAAGACCCTGTCTTAAATGAGAGAGAGAGAGAGAGAGAGAGAGAGAGAGAGAGAAGGAGGTAGGGAGAGTGGGAGGAAAGGAGGGAGGGAGAGAGGGAGGAAGGGAGGGAGGGAAAAAAGGAAGGAAGGAAGGAAGGAAGGAAGGAAGGAAGGA